TTCTCATTTGTAAGGAAGAGGGATTTCAAGGACCTAAACCTTTCAGGTTTCTTAATGTCTGGGCTACACATCACAATTTTTTAACTATAGTTAATGATTACTGGATTAATAGCCCTAGGACTGGAGGTATGGCAGGTCTAGCTATGAAGCTAAAGGGTCTCAAATCAATTCTCTCAACCTGGAACAAACTGCACTTTGGCAATATATTCCAAGAGGTGAAAGATAATGAAATTACAGCCTGTAAAGCTCAAGAAGAATATGAGATGGATCCTAATGAGGAGAAGAGGACTGCTGCTAATCTAGCTTCTGCTAATCTCATAGTTAGTCTCAACAGGGAGGTTTGCTTCTGGAAACAAAAGGCTAACATCAAGTGGATGTCTGAGGGGGATTGCAACTCTAAATTTTTTCATTCTTTTGCTAAACACAAAAGGAGTAAACTTACTATCAGATCTATTCAAGATGCTAATGGCAACCATCACTCAACCCAGGAGGATATTAGCAGGGAGGCAGTCAACTACTTCTTTGAGTGCTACTCTTCAGTTAATCACCCAGATACTGATCTTATCTCTAATTTTATTCCTAAAGTGATTGATGACCTGGACAATCAGCTCTTATGCTCTATGCCTACAGAATCGGAGATCTTCTCTGCAGTTTGGGCTCTTAATCCAGACAGTGCAGCTGGCTCTGATGGCTTCAATGGTTACTTCTTCAGAACTTGTTGGCACATTATCAAGAAGGATGTTATTCTAGCCTGCAAGGAGTTCTTTTTGGGAATCCCAGTTCCTAAGTCCTTTGGGAGCACTTTCATTACTCTGATTCCTAAAATTGATGACCCTAAAAGTTTTGGTGATTTCAGACCCATATCCCTCTCCACTTTCATGAGTAAAATTAACACCAAACTTCTGGCCTCTAGACTAGCTACCCTGCTTCCTAAAATCATCTCAGAAGAACAGACTGGTTTTCAAAAGAACAAGGGTGTGCAAGAACAAATTCTCTTGGCAGAGGAAATGGTCCATATGATTGACAAGGAGGTTAGGGGAGATAATTGCATTATTAAACTGGATATGGCCAAGGCATTTGATAGAGTGGAATGGAGCTATCTTAAGAAAATTTTGAATCTTGTGGGATTTAATGACTACTCTCAAAACATCTTAATGGCTAACTTGGTGGGATCACATCTTTCCATTTTGATTAATGGAACACCAGCTGGATTCTTCCAAATGAAGAGGGGTGTAAAACAAGGAGACCCTCTATCCCCTCTCCTTTTTCTGATCAGCAGTGAAGGATTCTCAAGAATGATCAATTTTCATATGAGTAACAATGGTCTGCGTTGCTTCAACACTGGTAATCACCCTATGATCAGTCATCTAGCTTTTGCAGATGACCTAGTGGTTTTTTTGAATGGAGATTCTAGAAATCTTTCTAAATTCAAGAGGATTTTAGTTGACTATCAGAAGGGATCTGGCCAGCAGATTAACATTCACAAAAGCTGCTTTTATACTGGAAAAAAGGTCAGTAACACTAAAATTGCCACCATGACAGAGTCCCTGGGCATGGGTCATGGGACCCT